ATATATATATATATTAAAACATTGCTAAGAATAAAACTGTAAATACATACCAGATGAAAAAAGTAAACTCAACTTCAAAGGACAAGAATGAAATTAGAGCCCCATGGAGCAGGCAATTAAGTAACTATGATTTGAGCAACTCGTGCTGATAACGTGTTAAGAAATGAGAGCAAAATAGAACAATATAGTAATAAAGACAAATTATATAGGAGGAGAATGTAGAAGTTATTTTATTCAAATGTGTTTCTTGTGTGTCCTTCATAGGATAAAGAATACTCTATTTATAGGATATGAGATACATGGAAGGTTACAAGAATACACCTAAAGGTTACAAATATTAAGTAATGAATTAACTAAATACATGAACTCAAATAGTTCATGGAATAGGGATGTCTACGAGTATTCAATGGATATCCACTTTAACATATTCATAACAAAATTATTAATATGTTGAAATCGTACCAAGTAGCCACTTTTAATGTTACTATTTAAAACATAATCATATTTTATAATGTATTAAAAGTTTAGTCATCTCTTGTTACCTCCTCCTCCTCCTCTTCTAATTCAAACATCGATCTCATGAATACCTAGAATTATGCCAATCTTTTATAAAATTCAAATATCAACGTATCTTAATTTATCTAACTCACCGAGTCAAAATCCTATAAAAGCTTAAATTATTATTACAAAGAAAATTGATGGAAAAATGACATTGTATAGCTGTTCTCAAAATAATAGTCGAAAAATGTATATATATATATATATATATATATATATATATATTATGCACTTTGAGGCTACGTATTTTGTTTTATGGTTTATCACAAAATTGCAGTTCAACTGAGTTGCCAAAAACTTTGAACTTACACTTGAGGTCATGAAACAGATCTCTACCGCTATTATAAAATTATGACTATATTTTAAATATTCAGAGTATGTTTTAAATAGTGTTGTAAAAGTGGCTATTAGTGCAATTGCCCATTATTTCTCGGACTGGTCCAATAAATACATGAAAATTCGAAAGAGACCCCCAAATTTTGCTAAGTCATGTCTTCACTTCTCTACACTCGCAGTCGCTTCTCTGTTGCTCTCAGAGTGTTTACTCTGCGCAGATTTTCTTCCACAGTCACTTGGAGTAAAAGTCCTTAAACTCCCACTTTTCTCGTTTACTATTTAAGCACCGGATATTTCAAATATTTATGCTCTTTTTTAATTTTTTAATTTTAATTCTTTTGATTTTATGCAGATGCTTCAGAAGAAGAGAAAGTCACTGATGCAACTGAAGAAGATTCAAGATTCATTCACCCCTCTTCAGTTGTTCATCCCAATGCCATTTTGGGTGATGTAAAGTTACATTCTTTTGTCTCTTTATGCCTTTTTACTCATGAAAATTTGAAGTTTTTGCCATTTTTTAATGTCGGTTTGAGGAGCAGTATTTATTTTTTGATTCAATAGTTAATCAATGGACTATGCTTCAATTCCGAACTAGGTGGGGTCGGTTATATGAATTCTCTGTAACCCATTTGCCAGACTTATCACATTCTAATTTTTGCACATAGGTGAAGTTTTTTGTTTGCTTTAAAATTGTGGTATTTTTTTTTTTTTTGGCTTCACTGCATTTGATTAAGGTTGTAACCTCTGATTGTAAACTTACAGGGTGTCTTGTCAAATTACTCCCTCTATTTCAATTCTTATGTCTTGCTTTCTTTTTTAGTCCGTTTGTAAAGCATGCCGCTTTCTATATTTTGTTAACCTTTTAATTCCAATATCCCACAAGGTATATTTTAGACGCAAGATTCAAAGGGCATTTTAGTACACTATACACATCTTTAGTTTAGGACCACAAAATTCAAAAGTCTCCCTTACTTTCTTAACCTCTATGCCTAGTCAAACTAAGACGCATAAAATGGAACAGAGGAAGTAAGTTGGGAAAGTAAGGAAAAAGTTTCAAACTTGTAGCTGCATAGGGAATAATAAGTCATTGTCGTCCACATTCAATGCCATATAACTTCTAATTACAGATTAGCTAGTGAAGATTTGAGAATAGAAATGTTGAAGAAATTTTCTCCAAGGAAACTTTTTAGTGTGCAGTCTTAATCTAGAATTGGTTTTGTATTTCTCTCTACCCCCTTTTTTTTTTTTTTAATATTGGAGGTACTTCATGTAACTCTTTTTCTTGGATTTAGCAGGAGAATGAAGTGGAGGTAAAAGGTCCATTGGGTAATTGCACCAAAAGGTATAGCCTAGTAGTCAGTGAAGTGAAAATCATGGGCGACTACGGTTCAAATCCCGGCAAAGACAAAAAGTAATAAACGATTTCTTCCCATCTGCCTAAGCTTTGGTGGTTAGACTTACCCAATACCTGTGTTGGTCAGAGGTAACGAGTACATGATGAAATAATGAAGTACACGCAAATTGGTCCAGACACCACTGTTATTAGAAAAAAATCCATTTAGGTAAATCCGACTTGTTGGGATTAAGGTTTAGTTGATATTGCACTTATATTAGGTTCGATGTCTGCTGTGAATCCTTTAATTCCAGTTAAAAATGTATCTTAGCATAGAGATAGTGCGAGATATAGAGAATTTTAGTGTTAGAGAACCTCTAATGTGCCGTACTTTGGGCTGAAATATGCGGAATATAGCAAAATGAATGCACAGGATTCATATAGCCAATTTCACCTAGTTGGGATCGATGCATAGTTGGTTGGTTGATTGATTGTTCTATCAGAAATTGTCACATTTCTTCCTTTGACTCATTTCAGCTGGTTTACTGGAGATGTTAAGCTTTATATGTTACGGCCTTAGCTGAATTAGCATTTTGCCGATACTTGAAGGAGCTTTCTCTCCATGTAGGGTGTTTCAATTGGTCCCTTCTGTACCATTGGGCCTTTTGCAAAGTTGGGGAGGGCTTGTCAACTGTACCCTGGGAGCCACATCTTTGGAAATACTGAACTGGGGGACAATTGCACTCTGATGACGTGAGTTAATTTTTTTTATTCTATTTCGATGTACTTCCTTTCCGTTCTCTCCATTGCCGTTTAGGGAGTGTATTTTTAACAGTGGTGCTGTAATTGGAGATGATCTTCCTGGTCATACAGTCATCGGGAGAAACAATATTTTTGGGCATCATGCTGTAATTGGTGTCAAGTGCCAAGACATGAAATATAAGGTCGGTATCCTGATGTTAAACTCATTACTGAAAATAAAAGTTTGAAAAACATCATGATTCATTCACACCTAAATTTATGCAGTACTGTACTAGATCATCTTATGACAACATATATATTTAAATGTGCGTTGCAGTCGAATTAAGAAGCATTTTGGTTTGGCTTCTGAGCTCAGATTGGTCTCCATCAATATGATGATCCATCTCTTCATCATGATCACTTTCTTCCCACCTTCAAATATAAGTAGGTGGTGCTTATTTGAGAATGAAGATAATGATTATCTTGTCTGTAATTTTAACCATCTCAGCTTGGGAATGAGTGCTTTCTCGAGATTGGTGACAACAATGAGATCAGAGAACATGTATCCATCCATCGATCTTCAAGTCCAAGTGATAAAACCGTAAGAAACTAGCTCATTTAATCTTTCCGCGGTGCAGAAAACTATAAATTTTAGTACATGGTTATCTGAAATGAGCTTACATAAACAGGTTATTGGTGATAACAATCTTATTATGGGCTCTTGCCATATAGCTCATGACTGCAAAGTGCGCAACAACAATATTTTGGCAAACAATACACTTCTCGCTGGCCATGTTTTGGTGGAGGTTATTGACTATTCCTTTTTAGTCATTTTTGTGAAGCATGGCCTTTTCTGGAAAATTTAATCTAACGGATATATGATGGTTTAAATTCTTCACATACAGGACTATGCTCACACTGGAGGAGGTATTGTAGTTCATCAATTTTGCCATATTGGTTCTTTTTCTTTCATTGGTGGTGGTTCAGTGGTAAGATTCTTTCCTTATTCAAATTGTTTGCTGTTTTTTCCGGTGTTTTACTCCAATCAAACAGAAGAATAGTTTCTTTTCCAAAACTTAAATCTTTTGCTCATGATAAACTATTAGAGCAATAGTTTCATAGTTAGCTAAGCATCTATAATTTGCACCTCATGATAGCTTAGCTTCTAACCACTTAGTTTAAGTGGAAGATCTTCAAATTGTTTCTTCTGCACTGGCAAATCTAAAGCACAGATATTCAAAGTGCAGCACGCTAACTGCGATCTTTTAGATCACGTGTGTGTTTCCTGTTGGGATCTCAATCTTTTTGTTCTCCAGGTTTCTCAAGATGTTCCAAAGTACACGATGGTGTCGGGGGAAAGAGCTGAGCTTCGTGGGTTGAATCTTGAAGGCCTAAGACGTCGTGGATTCTCTGCTACAGAGGTTCGTTTCTTTTGAAAACATTGCTCTATATTTCTAGCGAATAGATGTAGGAATTTAAATTTTGATAAGTGGAAAACCATATATGTGATATGGATCCTCTCGAGGTTTTAAATTGGTCCTGTATCTTCACTGCACTGGTCATGTAATTTTGTAAGCGGAATGTATTTAGCAGCATCTGCTTTATCATGAGCCAGTTCCAGCTAATATTATTGGTTTGTATTTAACTTTTTTGCCTACTGTAATCATAGTGTCTCAGCGGCTGAAATCCGAAATCCTCTGCCCTAACCTTTGCTATGACTTGTTTTCAACTTGGTACTGTTTTGATTCAATAAGAAAAAGCTTCTTCTGTTCTGTGCTGTTCATTCGGGAGAAAGGACATGCTGCTGCATATATTGAACATGTGCTAAGTAAGAATACTCGCAATGTGGAAGAAATTCTTTGAAATATTTAAATACAGATCCTAAAGGTTCACATATGAGACATATTGCATAATCTGGTAAGTTGAAACGTTTCTCATTATCTTCTTAAGGTTATTTAAAGTTTTTCTTAAGTAACACCTTGGGGGTTTAATTAGAATTTTGAACCTTTTTAAAATTGGATGCGCGTATGCTGTTTTAATGGAAGTTATGGTGTCAGATGTTGTTTAAGAGATTTATACGTTTTACCATTTCAATTTATTTTGCTTTCTGCAATACTGTTAATCTTTAAAAGCGCAAATTAGGGGGTGTTATGCCTTGAAACTTTCTAATTACTTTAAAATTTTGTTCCTTTTTTCCTTTAAAGAAAACAAATTGTTAAATTAATTAGAGGATGTTAAGACTTAAGTATTATGCATAAGATCTTTCCATCAAAACGTCTTGCTTTATGGAAGCCACTCTGCAGCCAGCACCAAATAAACCGTTTTGGAAAATTTGTTGAGATGGAGATTAAGATTTAATACCTTATGTGAGCTTTTTTCTTAAGTTTTGAAATAAAGAATACGTTACAAGCCTTCACTGATTTGTGTCTCAGTTGTCTTTTCCCCGTAAATCAAAAATGGTTTCAAAGAGATTAATGTGGTCTGATAAGATGAATTCTGTAGATCATTTTTCCCCCAAGGCTTTGGTTCAGTTGTAAAGATGAAACATGTGATATGTGGATTAGGCGCACGTCACATATACGAACTTTGTCACGGACAAAGCCTGGTATTTAAGTTGGGAGGTGGGAAGAGGGGTTCCCGGAGTTCTGAACCTGTGTGCCAACTCGAGTTGAGCAAGCAGCCCACAGGGGATTCCTCCGATATTAAAAAGAAAGAATTGTAGATCTTTATTTCCTTTTCCATTACAAGCTATTGAAAGATTGGTCTGCTATCAATTTCAATACGTTAAATTGCTCTAGTTTTATCCTTAACTTTTTTATTCCTGATTTTAGTTTAATGTTTTCTTGGCAAGTATCCAGATAAAGAGCCTGAGAGCAGCTTATAGAGAGATATTTATGCCCACTGATATGAGTTCTGGGAATATTGAAGATCGACTAGCTCAAGTGGTATAAAGTTGCTTTGAATATTTTGATTGACATTAGCTCTCTTCTAAAATGATGTAAAGGGCACCGTGATTTTCAGGAGCAACATAAAGAGCTTGGTCTATTTCCAGCTGTCTGTTCCATGGTACAGTCAATACGAGATTCTTTCGCTGAAAATCGCCGTGGAATTTGCAAATTTAGAAGTTGGAGTGGATCTTAGCTGCTTTTCTTCGTAAGTCTGCTCTTTATTTCATTTTTCATATGCTGTCCTATACATATATTAAAATATCTGCTTGTTACTTCCTGTACTCTGTACCTTGAGTTTGACTGAAGATTGATTGCCTGATTTTTCAAGCCAACCATTTTTAAGTTTTCCGAACCAATCTTTTACTTGGTTGCATTGTTTCCGGATTTCTACCTTAGCCACATTTCATGGTGGTGCTTGTAATTTTGCCATCTGATGTAAACTGGCAATAGAAATACTTCACAGCTATTTCTTGCTGAGTTGAAGATTGACTTCAAGTAGTGAATTCATTCTAATGGAGAAGCGTTTTATGAGCATACACAGTATCCTTATGAAGGAATGTGATAACATCTTTTTCTACTTACGGAAAAGGGTCAAATATATCCCTGTACTATCCAAAAAGGTTTAAAAATACCCTCCGTTATACTATGGGGTCATCTCAACCCCTACCGTTATACTATCATCCAAATATACCCCTCAATTGGACGGACTGCCACGTGGCACCTCAGGATTAAAGAGACCCAGCCTTTTTTTTACCTGATTCTTTTTCCCTCTATCCATAACCCGACCCAAGTCAAAAAAAACCCTAAACAGTGGAATCAACTTCCATAAATATCTTCTCTACTTTTTTCTCTTTTCTTTTCCATTTCCTTTTCTTTAATTTCTGCTATTTTTTTTTTCTTTCTTAATCCTTACCCGTTATAACACAAACAATTATGTATAGTCCATAGATTGATTTTGGGTTTACATGGAATCAGAAATTTACATGTATAACACAAATTTTTTTTCTTTCTTTTGGACAGCCTCTTCGTCCCCTTATTCCGACCCCACCAATCCATGAAGTTTTAGATTCCGACCATTTTTCTTTTTTCCGGCGACGGGAAGCATTTTTCCGGCCAGTTTTCAATCACTTTTCAGTCAGTTGCCAAAAAAAAAAACATCTTTCTCCTCCTTCTTAAGATTGCAGAATTCCTTCCTTTGCTTCATTCTGTTTTTCACCCGTTCTGACTGCTAATATCTCTAACCTTTGAGGTTTTTCCGGACAGATCTCACCACTTCTTTTTTTGGGGCAGCAGTACTCTCTCTTAGACTTTCCCTAGATACTCTCTCTCCTACTTCCTAGGAGGGTAGAACCACCTTTCCGGTGGGATCTTTCACCGGATTTCTTCCCTTTCCTCTCCTCTAGACTCCTTCCTTTCTTTCTCTTTCTCTCCTTCTCAGATTTTCCCCTCAAAATCAGATTCGTTTTACTTCATCAGTTAAATATGGACAGTGACAGAATTTATTACAATGCTTGCTTCAAGTCTTTTGATATCACAAAAATTAGTTCTAAGTCTGGAACACGGTTTGAACGGGTAGAACGTAGCAGAAAATTGATGAGAACAGTAAATGTCAGCAGTAAAGTCATGAAATGGGTGACAGAGATATTTAATGTGGCGTCAAAGGAACATAGCGGGGCAATAAGAAGATGGAACATGAAAGAACATTGCACAGAATACTTTTGTAACCTTAAATTCAATGAATATGGTAGGTACATCAGTTTTATTGCTATACAAGGGGAAAGTAGATCTATCATTATTACACCGGAAATCTCATTAAATGCTGGGTGGGGAGACATAGCTAGAAAAATTATAAGACTCGTTAATTCTTCAGAGAAAGAGGAGCAGCCCCAGACAGTGAGAATCTCAAAGATGGAGTCCTCATACACTGAAGCGGTCAGAACAAATAGATGGTCCACTGAAGGCACAAAATCATCCCCAATAAAAATCAACAGCTCCAAAATTATGGTCCCAGGAAGTTCAGAATTATCAGAGAGGGATGTGTTGAGTAGATGCATAGTAGGCAAGGTGATGATTTCTTTGAAGGAATCTCCAACTTTGAACGATATCAGAAGATGGGCAAACAACACGTGGAATTCCACCATCAGCATAAATGTTCATGAGATGAATGATTCCCAATTTCTGTTCGAATTTCCCACAAGAAAGGAGGCAGAACATGTGCTAAGGGGAGAATGGCGGTGACAGAAGTCCAAAGTAAGCCTCGACTGGTGGAAACCTACCACTGGTTGCTGGCCGGAAAAGGTGAAACGAGACTGGGTATGGGTAAGACTATTGGGTTTACCTGTTAATCTATGGTCAGATAAAGTTCTCAGAACCATAGGAGACCAATGTGGGGGATGACTAGAAACAGAGGAGGAAACAAACCTCAAAAACCACCTCCGATGGGCAAGAATAAAAGTGAAGGGAGATGGGAGTAGGGTTCCGAGAGAGATACAAATGGAAAGTGACGGATTTTTATACAAAATCCCCATCCGGTGTGAAATTCTGGTGACTGTAATAACGATTACAGCGGCGGGGTGTCCGAGGGAGGAAGATGATGAAGGACAAGGACTGCAGGGTAATAGAGGGAGAAATGAACCGATGGTCAATAATAGTATCCACCTGGGGAAGGAGATTGTAACGGCTCCACTGTACTATGGTCATGTGGGTACATCGAACAATGGAGAGGCTTTTAAAAGTACTGCACGTGTGCCAGTCTCACGTGACAAAGGACCAGACTCAATTTCTGATGAATTGGGCCCAAATAAATCTCTGGGCCCAAGATTGATAGACCATTCTCTAACCCTCTGTAATAAAAGGCCAAAAATCATAGCCCAGTTGGAGGAATTAAAAGACCCCATCCTAATAGAGGTCCAGGCAAATACAGTGTTCCTCCCTTTGGAAAAAAAGTCGAAGAAAGCAGAGAAGGCCATTGAGATCGACAATTCAGATGATACACTCGAGGAGGAAGCTCAAACTGAAGAGAACAAGGAAAAGGCCTTGGTATTAATCAAAAACAAGGAACAATCAACCTCTGACATGCAGCAAAAAGAGCACATGCAACCGGAAGAGGAGAAAATGTTTGGAGAGTGGACAATTGAAGAAGTTCTCCCCTTAAATTCTCTAGATAATGAAGAGGATCCAGAGTTTCAGGCATCAATTTGGGTGCACCAAAATATCATTAGGTTGAGCAAAGAGTTTGGGGTGGAATTCAAAGGGTGCGAAAAGGAAGCACTCCAATTACTCATGAAAATTGATGGAAAGAGGAAGAATTTAACAGAGTCAACATCACTGATGATGGAAGCTGTCACACCAAAGAAGAAAGGAAGCAAAGAATTGAAAAACTTAGATCTTGGTAGCAGTTTCAAAAGCAATGGCACAAGAAGCAGGGGAGGGTATATTGTCATCGATAGTCAATGATGATTAAAATAGTATCTTGGAATGTTAGGGGACTTAACAGAGCTAGGAAGAGGGAGTTGATAAAAAATATGGTGAGTAGCTGGAAGGCAGAAGTCTATTGCTTTCAAGAAACCAAGGTAGAAGGGGAAATCAGGGAGATAGTTAGAGAATTATGGGCAAATAGATGTGAAATATGTCCAGTTGGAAGCAAGTGGAACTAGTGGGGGTATTCTCATTATGTGGGACAGTAGGGCATGGGAAGGGGAAGTCAGTAGTGTGGGTAGATATTCCATCACATATAAGTTCAGCGACAAAGCCCAAGAATTTGTTTGGCATTTAACCAGTATTTATGCTGCTAATGATAGGGTTGAAAGAAAAGAAGTATGGTGGGAGATAGGAGCTGCTAGGGGTCTATTCACTGGGCCTTGGGTTGTGTGTGGGGATTTTAACACTGTTAGATATCCCTCAGAGAAGAAGAACTGTGTTAGGTATACCAGATCAATGGCAGAATTCTCAGATTTCATTGAGGACATGGGTTTAGTTGATCTGCAACTACTAGGAGGCAAGTTCACATGGAAGAAAGGAACAAATTTCAACATTGCTGCTAGACTGGACAGGTTTCTAGTCTCTGAAGAATGGGATGAAGGATTTAGAAACATTAAACAGTCAATCCTTCACAGGGTTACCTCTGACCATTCACCTGTCATGATTCAGTGTGGCAATTAGGAACCAGTGAATTTTTTTTTCAAATTCGAGAATTGGTGGCTGCTGACTGAAGGTTTCAAGAATAGAATTAAAACATGGTGGGAGTCCTTTTCATGTACTGGCAGACCTGATTACATCCTGGCTTTCAAGCTGAAAGCTTTGAAGGAAAAACTCAAAGAATGGAGCAAGACAATTCAAGGCAATCTGAAGATACAGAAACAACATATATTGGACCAACTTGCTGAAATTGAGGATATACAAGAACTGAGGAGCTTGAATGAGGAAGAGACACACAAAAAAACCTCTCTAATGCTAGAATTTGAGGAAAATGCTCGGAAGGAGGAGATAGCTTGGAGGCAACGGTCCAGGGTCTTGTGGTTGAAAGAAGGTGACAGAAATACTAAGTTCTTTCACAGAACTGCAAATGCCCATAAAAGATATAACAATATTGACAAGCTACAAGTCAACAGGGAAACTGTGGAGAATCTTGAAGATATCACGAGGGAGATAATCTCTTTCTACCAAAAATTATACATAGAAGCTGAGGAGTGGAGACCACAATGCAGCCTAAGGGACTGCCAAACTATTAGCTCAGAGGATAATCAGATGTTATTGAGCCCTTTTGAGCCTCCTGAAATCTGGGAGAATGTCAAAGCATGTGCAGGGGACAAAACTCCTGGTCTAGATGAGTATACTATGGCTTTCTACATTCAATGATGGGAAGTGATTAGTCAAGATGTGATAGCTGCAGTCCAGAATTTTCAAGTTACTGGGGTCTTTGAAAAAAGCTTCAATGTTACTTTGGTGGCTTTGATTCCTAAGAAAGTTGGAGCTAAAGAACTGAAAGATTTCAGACTTATCAGTCTGATAAGTAGTGTCTACAAAATAATCTCAAAAATCCTAACAGAAAGAATCAAGAAAGTAATGGGCAAGTTGGTGGACAATCAACAGATGACCTTCATCAAAGGTAGGCAAATAATGGATGTTATTCTCATTGCAAATGAGAGTGTAGATGCTAGAATGAAGAGCAAAGAACCTGGTATCCTGTGCAAGTTGGACATAGAAAAGGCGTATGATCACCTTAACTGGAATTTTTTGTTGGGAATACTTTCGAAGATGGGCTTTGATGAAAGATGGATTAGTTGGATCAAATTCTGCATTAGTACTGTCAAATTCTCTATCTTAGTCAATGGTTCACTTGTTGGTTTCTTTTCCTCTCAGAGAGGCTTGAGACAGGGAGATCCAATCTCCCCTTTTCTATTTATTCTGGCTATGGAAGGTTTAAACAATCTGTTTAAAACTGCCAAAGCAAATTATAGGATCAAGGGGTTCAGGGTAAACTCTAGGGAGCCAACCAACTTGAAAATCACCCATCTACAATATGCAGATGATACTTTGGTGTTTTGTGATGCTAGCAGAGAACAGTTGCTTTTCCTGAGAATGGTATTCATTCTTTTTGAAGCTATATCTGGACTACACATTAACTTGAACAAGAGTTTCATCTATACAGTTAATGAAGTAATGGAGATGCATAGTTTGGCTAGAATACTGGGGGAAGATAGGAGCTCTACCAATAGTGTACCTGAGAATGCCACTTGGAGCAAAAAGCAAGTCAAAAGGAATATGGAATGGAGTAATTGAGAAATGTGAAAGCAAGCATGTCCGGACAGTAGTACATTTCAAACAGACCATCTTGATGCATCCTATGTGCTACATGTTGCATTTCTTCGAGGGTAAAATGGTCATTTGGCGGACTAATGATAGTTGAGGGCAAATGAAAAAAAAAAATGAAAAAAAAGAAAAAAAAAAGAAAAAAAAGAGAGGGTGAAGTGTGAAGATAACCAGTAAAAATGGAAAATAAAGCCATTTTCGTTTCTCGCCCGTATCCAATCTGCCCGAACTACGCATACCTGATTCTCGTCTTTCGGGACATGATACGTAGGCAACCCATATAGGGTCCGGTCTTACTAGTAAATATTATGTTCTTGGCTTTGCGGGGTCTTAGCCAAATTTTGCACTTCTAGCCACCTTTTGGCCAAATAAGCCATTTTGCAAAAATAGCCTCAATCATGTCTTGCATGTGTCCAGTAGGGAGTGTTATTGTCTCGCATAGTGTTGGTTTAAAATTTTCTCATAAAGGTGTGGATTTATTTACCGGAGTTTGAGCATGACAGACACCCCGTGACCATCCAGTCAGGATCGCTCAATCAGGAGTTGCTTAAGGAGATTTGTTTTATTTTTATGTTTTGAGTCCGTTCTTCATTTTATGTCGTCTTTTACTTTCTAGTTTTGTACAGTAATGTCAAGTCTTTTATTATTGTATTTTCTTCTTTATATTTGAAAAAATGTGCTGTAACTCAAAAATCCAAAAAAAAAAAGAGATATTTCATTTTATATTTCCGTTATAAGTTTTCTTTAGATTACTAATTCTAGAAATGAAAAAAAAGAAAAATTTCTGAGGTTGTTTTTCCTTTAGGCAATAAATATCTAGGACTTAAAATGAATTGTTTTTATGTTTCCTTTAAGTATAGTAGGACCAAAATTCAAAAAAAAGAAGAGAATTTTCTTTTAGTATTTCTTTAAAGCTTTATTTAAGGTGTTAATTCAAAATCCAAAAAGATTTTCTTTTGAGAAGTTTCTTTGGGAAATTAGTAAAAAATGAAAAAAAAATTTTTTCATTAGAACTTTAGGATATTGTGCACAGAAGAAAAAAAACAACAACATACTTTATCTTTGATTTATTTTCAGAGTTTCTCTTTTAAGCAATCAAAATTGAAACCCAAAAATATTTTTTTTGCTTGTTTCAAAATCTTGCGTCAAGATATCAAAGGAAAATTCAAAATAATTTTCTGTGGTTTATTCTTTAGATTTTCTTCCTAAAAAAAAGAATCAAAAAAAAATATTTTTCTCTTCTAGGGTATTTCCTTAATAGAATACTTGTTTCAAAAGGATAAAAAAAAAACATGTCCGTTAAGCTTGAGTTTAGAATAGGTCATAGAACGTTAAGTCTAGAAATTCAAAAAAAAAGGATTTGCTAGTTTATTTGTTTCAAAAGGATAAAAAAAAACATGCCCGTTAAGCTTGAGTTTAGAATAGGTCATAGAACGTTAAGTCTAGAAATTCAAAAAAAAAGGATTTGCTAGTTTATTTGTTTCAAAAGGATAAAAAAAAACATGCCCGTTAAGCTTGAGTTTAGAATAGGTCATAGAACGTTAAGTCTAGAAATTCAAAAAAAAAAGGATTTGCTAGTTTTATTTATCTTTTCTCATCAGAGTAGTTGTGGAGGTAAAAAAAAAAAAGAAGAGAATGAAAAAGAAAATGTTAGTTTATGTGCTTTACTCTCGATCATCCAGAACTACGCAAAGATCTGATTCATGCGGCGTCATGATACGTAGGCAACCTACATACGGTTCGATCGAATCATTTTATTTTTTTAAAAAAGAAAAAAAAGAAGGAAAAAAAAGGGGAAAAAAGAAAAGAAAAAAGGATGAAATTATGGGACGTGAGAAATGAGAGGAAAGAAAAGAGTGATAATTAGAAGAAAAAAAAGAGGAAGGAAAATGATCAAGCAAGTGCTAGAAAAGCAAAGAAAAGGGAGGTTGAAATGAACAAATTGGGATGATGCCAAGTGACCTTATGACCCTCGAAGTCATTCTAGAACCGTTAATTGTGGCTAGGTGCATTGCACGCAATGTGATATTTTTGTTGTTAAATGCCCTAACGCTAACGTGATGACCTCATTTTGTTATATTCATAGCAGAAATGTGGTTGGTTTGTGGTTGTCAAAGTAGTAACTCCTCTCTACAACATAAAAGGCAATGACGGACAACAACAAAACTGGGTTGGTTGATACCGGTGCCCGAAAGCAGTTGGTTGAACAGGACACTGGTTTGGCTGATGAGGTAAGGATGTTGAGACAACACATGACGGACATGTATCAGGCCTCGATGACGGGAAGGCACCACCCCCGCCACCACCTAGCTTCTTAGATGCTGCCTTTACCTAATTTAGTCGTATTTTCGTCACCATTTTCCGGCCATAATTCCGGCATCCGGTGGCGGATTGTCGCAAACTTGGTGTCAAAAGAAGCATTTCTCTTTGCGCACAATCCCCAATTGATTTCATACTCAAATCTGTAACCAATTGGTAAGGATCTTAAATTTCATTTTGCGGTTACTGTAGCAACCAGGCATTTTTCATTAACTTCTTCTGATTCTTCACGTTAATGGAGTGTTGAAGAGTTTCATGTCTGCTGCGTCCTCTCCCCAGCCTTTGGCTGTGGGAGAGCCATCTATTAAACCAACATATGCTGCTCAGATCCAAACCAAATCACCAACACAAATTGCAACAAAAACAGTGTTGAAATCGATTCAATATGTACATGACGAACCAACTGTTTGTTTTACCATGGAAGAAAGGCGTGAATTTGCAATGGAGGGGTTACACCAATCTGTTGTTTTTAAACTATCTTCAGGTGCACCAGATCTCAAAGAGCTAAGAAATTTACTGCCCAAACATCTAGGAACAAAAGGTCGATGCCTCGTAGGTTCACTCGCACCAAGGCAAATTCTGTTAAGGTTCGATCAAAATGAAGATTATGTACAGGCCTTAGCTCGTGCAGTAAATTACCTATCATGGAATGGCAAAGAACACCAGTATAGAGTCTTTCCATGGACAATTGGATTTAATCCAAACGAAGAAACTACAATGGCAGTAGTTTGGATTTCGTTGCCGAATCTGTCGCCGGAGTTATTTGCTATGCGTTCGTTGCTATCAATTGCTTCTGCTACTGGAAAACCTATAGCCATTGATAAAGTGACACAAATTAAATCCAGACCAAGCACAGCGAGGGTGAAGGTAATTTTGGACCTGATGAACAAGCATCCCAAACGAGTGAGAATCCAAAGTTTGGATAAAAATTCTGGAAAAATTGTTGAAGTTTTTCAGGAAATTGTGTATGATAATCTACCTTTGTATTGTAATTGCTGTAAACATCAGGGCCACGATGAGAAAACATGTCGATATATATCTAAAAGGGCACACAAAAATGATGAGATTGAAGATGTAGAAGTTTTTCAAGAACCAATTGATCAAGGTCCTGTAGAACAATATCAAGGGGATTTAAGGCAATTGTTGAATGCAAGAAAGATGCAACAGGTTTTAGAAGGCAAAAGTGTGGATCCAGATAACAATTTTGAAAATAATTCCCTTGTTTATCATCAAGGAGCGAATGTAAATAAGCAGAATATCGCAGCAACTCAGTCTGCATTGACTCAGTCTGCATTGACTGATGGTCCACGACCAGCTGTTGTTAAGGGCCAACTACAGAATGACCGAGATACTACAGCTGCGCGTGAAATAATTGGAAAACCACCATTTGTTCAATCTACTAATGTTGCATTGAAAAATGTTGTTGCATTGAATACAAAGTTGAGTGATATCCCTGCTTCCACAGTATTTTCAAGGATGTATGAAGCTACTGCTGTTTCTTTAAAGGCAGTTGCTAATCGAGCTGATAATTCAAACAACCTTGATATGTTTAAACATGTCCCTGGGCCATCTAGGATTCAAAGTGAAGTTGTGGTTTCGGAGTGTGCAACTACAGGTTCCCAAATGTCAGCTGGAGCAGAACAAGATGCTTG